AACCCCCCCCCAAAAAAAAGATTTTGTGAAACTCCTCTGAATATTGAGAAAAATCTGATGGTGCTCAGGAATCTAACCCCCTAGCCCAGCCATCGCCTTGATCTGCTTCTAAAGTGTCTGTTGGCTTTTCTTAGCTTTTTTTCTTTCCATTCAGTGTTCCAGGAACTTCTTTGTCTCAGTTGAGCACTCGGGATTTGACAGGTAGTATAGTGTAGTTTGACACTGTTAACTTGTTAAATGAAAAGTTTGTTCATAAATGACTGATGACTGTTGAGATTATAATGCTTTGTACAAATAAAGACCATTTCTTGTTTAAAGTGATGACTCATTAAGTATATAATGATAAGTTTGCTTTTGGAGAGGACCCACTGATCAATGCCCTGCACAGTATTTGGGGAGTGGCCTAGGCCAGACATTTGTAAACACAGGATCCTGCATCGCCTTGAATGACCAGCAGATGCTGCTCTTCAACCACAGCAAGAGTTTCTGGCTGTCCCGGCACCCTCTAGTACTAGATTGTCCTCACCTTCATTTAATGAGCCTGTCCTGTGTCTGGCATTGTTGTCAGTGCTTTTAAGTGTTAATTTGTAAGCCCTCTGAAGCGGTACTGCTTTTACTGCCATTATTACTTAACTGAAACTATTACCTCCTACTTCTGTAGCTTTTTCAAATCAAACTTTTAAAAAAACATTTCACAAAGATACAACCTCACTGGTCACTTGGATGTTAATGGCTTTTTCCTTCTCCACACCAGAAACATCCTTTGGTAATTCCCATGAGCACCACTCAAGGCTAAGGCCTCAAGGCCCGTCTGAACTCCTGAGGCTTCCTTTTAACTCAGTTTCCTGCCTGACCCTGCTTCCCCTAGCAACGCCTGTGTTCTGCTTGCCAAATGGATCTTCCTGGAACACAGCTGTATTACCGTCCCTCCCTGTTGCCTATAAAATCAAATCCACCCTTAACCTTATTCAAAATCTTCAAAGGAGGACTCACCCTATCTGTTTTAATCTACTTTCCAAAACAAAGCTGTATATGCTTCAGACAAGAGTGAATCAAAAAAAAAGCCAGGTGTGGTAGGGCATGCTTTGTGTCTATAATCTCAGCACTTTGGGAGGCTGAGGCAAGATTATCACCATTTCAAGGCCAACCCGAACTATACAGCAAGACCCTGTCTCAAAAAGAAAAACTTACTTCTGGTTTTAGCCCATCTTACCTAATTAATCACCAAAATTTAGCTTTCTAAGAAAAATGTTTTTTTGATGAGTGTAGGAGCACACACCTGTAGTCTCAGAAGTCTGGGCAGGATTGTATGTGCAAGCCCAGCCCGGGCAATTTAGCAAAACTATGTCTCAAAACTAGAAAATGGCTGAAGATGCACAAAGAGTGACCAGAAATACCGTAATTAAAATATTACAGTAAAAGACATTGCTATTCCCCTTAAAACATAGAGTGCTTCAAATAGCCACCATTCTTGGTGGTTTCAAGTCCTCTTCGGTGAGCGTGTGATCCAAAACTAGTGAACACTGCTGTTGAGTGTCATCCAGTGGAAAAGCAAGCTTCTAAACACACAGTGTGTCCTTACCCTCCTTGTTCACTGGATATGACACTGACTTCTGGCAATTGCCCAAAGTCAAAATGACCATAAAAGGTAAACTTCATCGAGATATCGAGGCAGGTATGACAGTACAACTAAAGACAGCAAAAGGACTTCCTAAAGTGGCAAGAATGATGGGGTAAGTGTGTTGGAAGCAAGGGGAATTAATGACAATGTGTCTTTTGCTGTCATAATTTCTTTTTTATTTAAGCACACCCTGATTGTACCTCATCGGTTAGTGCAAAGGCCCTGGGTCCAATCCCAAATACTGTAAAATAAAAAAGAAGAAAAATATGTTTCCTGAGGGAGGTGACTATAATTTAAAAGTACTATTTTTGTGGTGGTTATTGTTTGAGACAGTCTTCTTATGTAGTCCAGGTTGGTGTTGAACTCACTATCTGTAGCCAACTTGGTCTGGAAATTGTAGCAATCCTCCTGCCTCCTGCCTCAGTGTTGGTATCTTAGGTGTGTGCTACCATTCCCTGCTCAAAAGTACACAATATTAGCAACTTGATATCATCCATCAGTTTTCCCCAACCAGGCTAATCCTTTTCATATTTTTTGAAGCATATGCCTGTATGCCCAGAAATTGTGATGTGGATCTGGGGAATTAGGAGGGTTCTGTCATAACCTATTCAAAACTACTGTGGTGTAGCCCCCCTATTTTTAGGGATGGGAAATTAAGGCTTTTTTTTTTTTTTTTGTCTTTTTGAGACAGGGTCTCACTGTACAGTTCAGGCTGGGATTGAGCTCACTTTGTAGCCCAGGCTAGCCTCGAACTCACAATGATCCTCCTGCCTCAGCCTCCCTAGTGCTGAGATTACAGGCGTGCCCCACCAGGCCCGGCAAAATTAAGGCTCTTTACAGAGCAGTGCTTTGTAAGGCTCTTACCATAAATTTATGGGACTTGAGATTGTAACCCAGTGGCATTTGGCCTCGTGTGTTTCTGTTGTCTGTTTTTGTTTCTCTGTGTTTATTTTTGTTTTTCTTAGAGTTTTGCTATGCAGGCCAGACTGGCCTTGAATTAAGTAGCTGGCCTGGCCTCCAGCAAACTGAGATGAAATTCACAGAACATAAAATTAAGCATTTTAAATGATCGATGTAGTCGACCCATTAAGCAGTTACTCCCCTTGCCTTGGCTCCTCAGGCCCTCGCAACCAGTAATCTTGCTCTCTCTCATTTCCGGCCCGTTAACCTCCGCAGACCTCTCTCATCCCTACACATAACTGCCCCAAGCCCCTCAGGCCTTTGGTCAGAAATCTCACTGTACCAATCAGAGTCAGGTCCCCGTCAAACTTGCAGAGATTTTTTTAAATACCCACGTCTATTACATCACATCTCCCAGCCCATCTCCCATGGCACACAGTAGGCCCTAAGTAGTTAATTACGCTGGGATCAATCCTCTCTGAAAACATGGAAGGCAGCCTGGTGCTGAACTCAACAACTTTAAATGTTCCGTCTGCCAAAATGGACTTAGCTATTGTGTGAAGCATGATCGTGTTGTTCTAAAGGTGACATCCGATTGTGCTTTCATCAAAAAAATGAACCGGCCGCCAGTTCAGGGCAGGCTGTAAAGTGAACCGAGGGGCAAACCTGGAGCTGCACCAGCCGCGAGACTGGTCTCACGCAAGGCCCCCTCCCTCACGGTTCCTGCGCCCCACGTGGGGTCTCTCGGGCCTTTCCGCGCCGGGTAGGGGCGGGCCCTCCAGCCCCTCCGCACACTTGATTGGCCAGGCCTCTAACCGGACAGACACTGCCCGGCTGCGGCCGCAGCTGACCTGCACGCTGGGAGAACGCCCGCAGGGGGCGTGGCCTGCACGGGTTGGGGAGCTGCTTCCGGGCGAGCCGCCCCGCCCCCACGTGGGCCGGGGAGACCAGAGTGGGCGGCTGCGAAAGCTGGAGCAGCGGCGCCTGGAGCAGCGGCACGGAGCGGTTAGAGAAGCAGGTGAGCGGGGACCAGACTCCGGGAGGTGGCAGGCTTGGAGGGCGGCTCCAGGGCGAAGCAGGGCTGTTGCACCCCGAGGTCCCAGATTGTGCTGTGCGTCTGCAACGCTGGCGCTGCAGCGGAGCACGGGGTCCCCAAGGGCGCTTGTTTGGGCTTGATGATCCTGCGACAGCCGACGTTGCCGGGCCCCGCTTCTCCTCCTTGGGGCCCACCCCACCTCCCAAGACCTCCGAGGCAGCTGCTAGAGTGCGGAGCTAGAGGTGCCTCGCGAACTCCAGGAGGGAGGTGGGAACAATAAGAGCCGCTGGTGCTCGGCGCTGCGAGCCACGGCCATTCAGTCCTTACAACAGTCCGTTGAGGTCGGTTCAAGTCTCCACTTACCAGATGAGGAAACTGAGGTCACACGGCTGGAGGTGACAGAACCAGGATTTGTGACCACATCTGTCAGACTCCGGGTCCCACACACTTAACCACCAGGGGCAGCCTGATCTAGTCACAAGTCTATCCCTTTCCTCCTCCCACTTCATCTGGAGCTGTTAAGCCCGTATCTGCTGGAAAGAAATTTTGAAATCTGGCCTTACAGTACTAGGATTATGGTGGACTTTGAGGACTGGGCTGCTGAATACCTGAATTCGAGCTCAGGTTTGCAGCGATGCCCGCTTTCACGGTTGTTTCATTGATGTAATCAGCAAGCTTTAAGACGCCTCTTAGCCAGCATGTTCCAGGAATCTGTAGAAAAGATAGCCTGTCCTTCTTGCTCTAAATGCCTAAGCTAGAAGAGAGTGGGTCTTCAAAACCCTGGGTCCAGGCTGGGGTTTCATTCTTTTATTAACTTTATTTACTTTTGCAGTACTGGCACATGAACCCAGAGCCTTTGTACGGAATTACATCTCTAAATTTTAATTCTTTTTTTTATTTTGAGACCATCTAAGTCACTGAGTTGCTCAGGCTGCGCTCAAATTTGTGGTCTTCCTGCCTCAGCCTTCCAGAGTGCTAGGAGTACAGGCATGCACCACCACAACAACCTCATTCTTCTCTTTAATCCTGAATCTAGCACTGCTGAAGGAGGGGTGAGGGGGCACGAGGTGGATATTCAGGAAACACAGCGTAACTGAACGGGCAGCCAGTCAGTCCCTTTTTAGAACTGCCTGATAGCTGATGTCTTGGGCCCTCCTCGGGCTCTGGATTTCTCAAGCTGGCCCTCCAACCTAGCTGGCCCTCCTGCTTGCCTCCCTCACAGTCAGTGCAGAGCCTGCCAAACCTGGCACCAGCTCCCCACTCTCTTTGCCAAGAGCTCAGCCTCTGGAATCTCAGCGGAGCACAGGCTGGAATGCTTAAGCCCTGCAGATCTTCCTCCGCCCCTCCTGGTGGCTGCTGTCAGGGTCCAAGTTAAGTCACGTCCAGGTTAGGGGTGTTGCCTTCTAAGGAACTTGAAACATTCACAGTCATTGTGAAAAGCTGTCCTTCAGTATCGCATCTTCCGTGAAGTTGTCCTTGACTTCCAGAGAGGCACATTCCTCCCACAGCACATGAACCACCCTTCTACTCTGGCATCTGTGTTCCAGCCTCAGATATCTTAGAACACCCTGAGCTGGGCATGGTGGCACACACCTGTAATCCAAGCACTCGGGAGGCTGAGGCAGGAGGATCGTTACAAGTTCGAGGCCATGCTGGGCTACAGAGTGAGTTCAAGACCAGCCTGAACTACATAGTGAGACCCTGTCTCAAAAAGACAAAAAAAAAAAAAAACCCACTCTGTGGCTCGCAGGGTTTAAACAAATGTCTTCTTCTCAGGGTACATCATCAGCCACACAGTGCTATGCCTGGAGATCTCATTGCAGCTCAGCCCTACTCTGATAATCTCAGAAGTAGCTACAGGTTTGATGTGTGGCTACTTGGTCCAGACACATGCCTCATCCCTATTTCTAATCTTCTCCACAGCCTTGCAAATTTGATAGTAACAGCCCATTTCATATATTACAAAATGAAGGCTCTGAAAAGGCCACTAACCTTGCCCAAAGTAACAGAGCAGAGCACAGACCAAACCCAGGATCAACCCTGAAACATGGTACATTCTACACCACCCTGTACTGCTTACCAGCGAAACCAGCCTGTTCTAATGCGGGCTGGACTTCATGGTGGCTTTTCCTTATAAGGTTGTGATGTAAAATTTAAGGCGAGTTTTACAAGCTGCCTTAGTTTGGGAGAGGTGCTCTCCCAGCATCTGGAAATCTCCCAAACTTTGAGGGAGTTCTCACAGAGCAAGACCCTGGCCTGACTTTGCCCCTGCAAAACAGCTGCAGCCCTGGCCCCTCTCCTACTGCACAGGTGTGGTTTTGTTTTGTTTTGTTTTGGTACGGGGAATCGAACTTAGGACCTTGTGCTTTCCAGGCAGGCACTGTGCCACTGTGCTATACCTCTGTGCCAGCACAGGTGTTTACGTTCCTCTTGTAACCCTCTGACTCTGTGGTAAAGGTCACAGTGTACTGGCCTGGAAGCCAGGAGCCTTGGGCTTAGTTGCTAGCTCTGGACCTCACTCTCTATCATGTCCCTAAGTCCTGTAGCCTCAGAGCCACTCCATTGTCCACATTAAGACGTAAGAGTTTTGTTTTGTTTTGTTTTGTTTTGAGACAGGGTCTCGCTATGCAGTTCAGGTTGGCCTTGAGCTCACTTTGTAGCCCAGGCTGGTCTTGAACTCCGCAACCATCCTCCTGCCTCAGCTTCCCAAGTGCTGCAATTACAGGCATGCGCCCCTACGCCTGGCTAAGATGTAAGAAATTATATAGGATGGGTGATCTCAACTTTTTAATTTTTCTAGCACTGATACAATCAAATTTTGCAATCAAGTCTCTCTCTGAGCCCCAAAATAACAAACCATAGCAAAATGGAACTGCTTCGGTGAACACTCCCCCCCACACACACACATTCTGACCCTCCATACCTCTCCAAGGCTGCCTGGGAGAGCTTTGATAACCTGTTCCTAGTCGGCCCTCCTAGTTGCTTGTGATAGAAAATAGTACTTGCTCCCTCACCTACCTCAGGGAGACCAGGAGTTGAGGCCAGTGGAATTCCAGAAGCCAGGGGCCTGTTACAAAGATTGTCCTCAGGAAGATGAATCAGAGACATGCAGGCTTTTCTTCAGAATTTGACTTGACTCTCCAGAACGACCTGGAGGAAGACACGTAACCCTCTGAGCTTCCATTCCCTTATCACTGCAAATTAGGACAATTTATTATACTGCAGTGCCTGATACCTAATACACTCAGTATATTTTTCTATTTCTTCCCCCTGCCCAGCGCTCAAAGCAGAGAGTGTAGATACCTACTGAACCAGGTGTTTACCAGTAATATAGAGAATAGTATGTAGAACTCTGCATTTGGAGTCTAGAACAAATTGAAATTCTGGCTTAGTCCTAGTGTGTGTCTTGGGCAAGACCCCTCTTAGCTGAATTAACTCTGGCAGATATGAGAGCAAAATCTTGCACGTAATGGGCAAACAGGACCTCATACCAGCTGAATGACCATCATGCCTCCCAGAGATGTCTCTGGAGGCCTGGCCTGCTCCCATGGCGGTGATGCCGGTGGCTCACCCAGGGGTGTGGGCTAGGGTGGGTCTCTGTGTAGCTCCTGATAATCCAGATGCCACCAAGGAGGAAGATGGGATAAGATGGGCCCCTTGGCTGGTCAGAAGGAAGCTAAAGAGGTCAGAGACATGGGACAGAAAGGCAGCACTAGTACACTGAAGAATCCCTAAGGTGCTAGTCCTCCTCTTTTACTTTCTGATATGCTGTGTGACTTTGAGTAAGTCCTTGCTTCCCCTGGGCCATGTTTGTACAAGGAGCAATTGCACTTGGGCCTGCCAGCCCTTACTTTCTGTGGCCCTTTTTCCCCTCTACTTACTCGACTGCTAAGTGTTCCACCAGGCACCTGCAAAAGGAAAAATATGAAATGAAGCTCCTGCCTCTTCCCCAAGGTGGTTTCCTATGCCCTCTTCCTGCCCTGTCCTGTCTGCTGTGGAGACTTGGCGGCTTTGAGATGGCTTTTCCTTCTCCACCCCCGTCTCCTCCTCCCCCGCAGCTTCTGTGCTCCTCTGCTTCCGGTCTGCTCTGCGCAGCCACAAGACTTATCTTCCTAAAGCCAGGCTTTGACCAGGCTGTTCCCCTACTCCCTGCTCCGAGACCTCTCTGGCCTCAGCCTGTCCCCTGCCTGTCCCTCCCTGCCCAGCAAGCATTGCCTCCATTGCCTGCTCTAGGAACAGCCCAAAGCCATCCTGTCCCCACTTTGCCCCTTTCTTCCCTTCCTGAGGGAGCACCATCCTTTGGTCCTGCCAGGCTGCACCTATGCCTCCTGTAAGACCAAATGCAAGGCTTGTCTTCAACGAGCCCTTCCTGCTGCCCTGATGCACCCTGGACCATGCTGGTATGAGGCCAGCTCCTCTGCCCCGAGGGGCACTGTCCCCTGTGAAAGTGCCTAGTATAGCCGCACACATGAGGTACCCAAGAAACATGCGAATCCCCTTCTTCCTTATGTCTTGTATCACAGCCGAGCATGGTGGCACACTCTTATAATCCCGACCCTCAGGAGGATCACAGTCTGGGCTAAATAGTGAGTTCAAGGCCAGCCTGAACTACACAGCAAAACCGTGTCTCAAAAAACGAAAACATGATTTGTTTGGCCTGCAGGGCTTATTGTCTTGTACTTCATGTAATTAAATATTTACTGTGTGCCACAGTCCACATGGGCAGAGCTCGGTGGGGAGGCAAAGAAGAACTCCCCCGGACCCTGCCCTGTGGAGACTCCCCTCCTGGCGAGAGAGAGATAAGACAGTCCACAGAGACCTGTTGTGAAAGAGATTGCGCTGTGTGGGTGGGAAGAAGGCCCTGGGGAGAGGGAAGGAGAAACCTGTAGACCTGGCTGTTGGAGCCTCCGGATTGAGCCCAGCCTGCAAGGTGAAGGACAAGGGGCGCCGCAGAGCAGCAGGGTAAAGCACTGCCTGGCTGCAGAAGAGCTTGAGTGGCCGCTCTGGGGGAAGAGTGCGTGAGTGTCCCTCTGGCTGGCATCTGTGCACTATTTTATCATCTTGGAGTGTGTGGTGCCTGATGGGAAACCCATACGACACGGTGTTAACAGCGTTCTTCGCTTGAGGGAGAATTGCTGGGAGTTTTCTTTTTGCTTGTCTGGGCTTAAACATAGTTAAATGTAGGCAAGGTCAGACCTTCTCCAGGTTATATATAGGGAAGGAAGGATTAGTTCTTTCGTTTTCATTCTTTTCTTTCCAGTCCATTGATTTTTTTTTTTTTTTTTATAAAATTTGATGACAATAAATTACTAGAAAATTGTCTTTTTTCCCCCCACTACTAAGGATCAAACACAGGGGCTCTCTGCCACTGAGCTACATCTCTAGCCCCTTTGTATTTTTTTTTTTATTTTGAGACGAGGTCTCACTAAGTTGTCCGGACTGGCCTTGAAATTTGCAGTGTTCCTGCCTCAGCCTCCCAGAGTGGTGGGATTTTGGGCTTGTGCCATCATCATACATGGCTCCTGGCATCATGTTTTAAAATAACAGTCATAGCCAGGCGTGCTGATACACACCTGTAATCCCAGTGCTTGGGAGGCTGAGACAGGAGGATTGCCATGAGTTTGAGGCCAGCCTGGGCTACATAGTGAGTTTAAGCCTAGCTTGAATTACACAGCGAGACCTTGTCTCAAAAAAAGGAAAATAAATAAATAAATAAATAATAAAATTTTAAAAATAAAATAGCAGTCATAAAAATCTGGATGTTGTAGTGTGTACCTGTAATCCCAGCACTCTGGGAGACTGAGGCAGAAGGATCACAAGTTCAAGTCTGTGCAACTTTATGACTTAGAGAAACCCTGTCTTTGAGGGGTTTTTTGTTTTTATTTACAGTTTTTGGTTTTTTTGAGATAGGATCTCACTGTGTAGTCCAGGCTGGTCTCAAACTCATGGCAACCCTCCTGCCTCAGCCCCCCCAAGTGCTGAGATTATAGGCATGTGCCACCATCCCAGGCCAAGACAAAAAAATTTTTAAAGGTTGGAGATGTAGCTCAGTATGAAATCTCTGAGTTCAATCCCTAGTACCGCAAAAATAAAATGGTAGTGATATAAACTACAAGCCCAAATGTTACATTAGGTTTAAATTGCGAGGAAGCTTCTAAAAGCTTCCTTGCATTTCTCTTCTTACCTGGTCACAGCCAGCAAAGTGAACCATAGGGGTGGGGAGACTGGAGTGCCTGTCTTCCCACTGTGACCAACCATCTTCTGAGGACAGGGTCCATGTCTCATATTTCTCCTGACCCCCATACAGCTAAGCACACAGCAGACATCCCAAGAGCCTCTCTTCCGGCCAGCAGACTTTCCTAAGCCCCGCCATGCAGCCCCAGTCTGTTCTGCACAGCGGCTACTTCCACCCTCTGCTTCGGACCTGGCAGGCAGCCACCACCACCCTCAGTGCCTCCAACCTCATCTACCCCATCTTTGTCACGTGAGTCACCAGGAATAGACCCGGGCTGTGGTCTGCCCAGGGCGGGGTAGGCGTGAGCCCAGAGCAGCATCCATATTGCTAGGTGGGCTGTCCCCTGGAGACTGAAGGTATCGGAGGTGGCCTACTGGGTTAAGAATAGCAGTCTTAGGACTGGTGAAAAGAGCTCAGTCATCCTATTTGTAAAATAAAAAGAATTACTCCTACCTACATTCTGAGCTTTTGCAATAAAAGCCCAAGCAGAAGCCAGTGACATGTCCCTGAATCCCAGCACTCAAGAGCCTGAGGCAGGAGGATCGCCGTAAGATGGAGACCAGCCTGGGCTACATAGTGAGTTTGAGACAAGCCTGAACTACATAGCAAGACCCTGTCTCAAAAAAATACAAAATAAATGGAGAGAAGGTACTCTGTCGATGGTACTCTCTGATTGTGTCCATGTAGGCGGTGCTTATTTTTTTTCGAAGAGGTGCTTATTAATAATAATCATGAGTACTGTATACTCAGGTGCTATCCTAAGCACTTATACAGCATTATCTCATTCAGTCTGGCAGCATTTGTATGAGGTAGAAATAGATAATACCCCCTAGAATGTCAGCTCCATGAAGGCAGAGGTAATGTGTGATCCGTACCTAGGACATTAGCTGGCACATAATAAGTGCTCAGTAATTGTTAGTTGAATAAGTGAACCCACCCAAGATCCAGGCAAAGGGTCTGGTGCTCAAAGAGGTAATGCAGTGGGGCTAGGGTCACCTAGTCAGAAAGTACCTTGAGTAGGAAGCAAGGCCCCACTGACTTCAGAGTTTAAGTTCTTAACCCCCTGCCTTCTTCCATGGTTACTGTGTTTTAGTGTAGTTGCTCTTACTGTTGTTCTTCTTCTTGGTGTTCCTGTTATTATTTCAGGCCACATACTGGGTCCCGTCCCTTCCTACCCTCTCCACTGCCATATTCCTTCCCAGCTTCCCAAGCATCCCTCCCAGTCACCCCTTCACCACCAGCCCTTCCCACAGCCACCAAAGCCCACTACCCCGCCTCACTCGCTCTTGCAGGGATGTTCCTGATGACGTCCAGCCCATCACTAGCCTCCCAGGAGTGGCCAGGTAGGAGGTCTGGGGGGGAGGGCAAGGGAATGGAGGAGAGAGAGATTTCGCAGGTGGAGGTGGAAGATCTAGAGAGGCAGAGCTCAGCTAGTGGAGGGAAGGGTGTCCTGGGGATCAAAGCTGTTGCCGTGCAGAGGAGGCCGCCACAGGAAGTAATGAATGCCCATTACCAGAGCTCCACTGCAGATGGGAGCTTGGCTGGAGCTGGGAATTGAGCAGGAGGAGCTGTCACTGCCACTGCATAGCTCTGCTGCTTGCAGCCTCGGCCTTCCCACCTGTTTGGTGGGTGCCTTCCCTGCCCTGCCCCACACTGTGGGGCTTGTGCCCTCCTGGGGCCAACGTGCAGCTTGGCTCTTAGCAGAAGCACATAGTGGGGGGCCCAGGGAACCTTCCTTCCTTTAGCCCCACTCCTTGTCCCCTCCCAGGTATGGTGTGAACCGGCTGGAAGAGATGCTGAGGCCCCTGGTAGAAGATGGGCTACGTTGTGTCCTCATCTTTGGAGTCCCCAGCAGAGTTCCCAAGGTGAAGAGGGGAGGGTTAAAAAGGGAGGCGGGCAAGTGTGGGTCAAGGCTCCACACTGACCATGTCTTTGTTCCCACCTTGTGCTGGCCTTGGGGCCATGCCAGAATAGCCATAGTCTTTGTCCCTAAGACAACACCCATGTAGTATCAGGACACTACCTAGGACTGAGACACCCTGACTGAGAAAGCTGGGCCCCTCTCTGCAAATGAGGTTGATCTCTATATTTCTCATCCAGGGCTGCAACAGTGAGGGGGCTGGGACTGCATTCTACCGTGGCAGCCACCATGCCTTCTCAAAGGCTTCAGTAACAGACACACCACTTTGTCCTCCTTTCCCTGCCCGTAGGATGAGCGGGGCTCTGCAGCTGACTCAGAGGAGTCTCCAGCCATCGAGGCCATCCATGTGCTGAGGAAGACCTTCCCCAACCTTCTCGTGGCCTGTGATGTCTGCTTGTGCCCCTACACCTCCCATGGTCACTGCGGTGAGATCTCTCCCTCCTGCCAGCCCTGCTGCCACCCACACCCACTGCCAGTTCTCCCCAGGGTGGGCACCAGCCAGGGCCCAAGAAGCTCCCCAACAGCCATCCATCTTGCCCTGCAGGGCTCTTGGGTGAGAATGGAACATTCCAGGCCGAGGAGAGCCGCCAACGGCTGGCAGAGGTGGCACTGGCCTATGCCAAGGCTGGTGAGTGAGCCCCCAGCACAGATGGGCATCTCTGGGTCAGAGAGGTGGCAGAGTGGGTAGGAGGGTCCCAGCATTCTGAAGGCCCCCCTCTGCCCCTCAGGATGTCAGGTAGTAGCCCCGTCGGACATGATGGATGGACGCGTGGGAGCCATCAAGGAGGCCCTGATGGCACATGGATTTGGCAACAGGGTACGGGTGGGAAGTGCAGGGTGGGTCAAGGGTTGGGGAGGAGAAAGCTTGGACCACCCCAGTCCCCATATGTGCCAAGAATTGTAGAACTGAGGATAGTGCTGGGTGAGGCTTTTACACTCAACCTCTGTACCTCAGATGAGGAAGTCGAGGCCTAGCGCTCCAGTGACACTGGAGTATAGGCACTCCGTTTCCTAGCCAAGGTCCTTTCTCCCCTTGCCACATCAGCCTGGGACCTCTGGAGATGCTAACTGAGCCTAGACCCTCATTGTCTCCCCCTAGGTATCAGTGATGAGCTATAGCGCCAAATTTGCTTCCTGTTTCTATGGGCCTTTCCGGTAAGTGAGGATGGGTAAGGGTCTGCTGTTAAATCCTAGGCCCGTTAGCCCAAAGCTGGAGCCCACCCTGAGACTCTGCTTCACAGGGATGCAGCCCAGTCAAGCCCAGCTTTTGGAGACCGTCGCTGCTACCAGCTGCCCCCTGGAGCCCGGGGCTTGGCCCTCCGCGCAGTGGTGAGTGACCAGGGCCTGAGCCCCACAACACTTCTGCACCTGGAGGGTGCTGCCCACACTTTACACATGTGCTTTAGGACCGGGATGTGCGGGAAGGAGCCGACATGCTGATGGTGAAGCCAGGAATGCCCTATCTGGACATCGTACGGGAGGTGAAGAACAAGGTGAGCACAGAGAAAGACAAGGGGGCTCAGAGGGCAGGGAGAGTATCTGAGGATGCTGGACCTTGCATTCTAGGACTCTGGGACCTCAGAGTTTGAAGCAGTGTGTCTCCAAACAGGAGTTCTCCGTTCCTGGCCCAGGAACCAAGCCTGCTTCTGGGCCAGGGCTCACAAGGGCCTTCAAACAGCGCTGGGTGACCAGTTCTAGAATGGGCTTGGCTACCAGCAGCTGTGACTCAGAACGGGGCTCACGATAGTCACAGACCGGGCCGGGAGGAAGAGGCACTCATAGAGCATACCCACCTTCCCCTTCAACCCTTGTGTCCTCGCCGCCTCTGCAGCACCACGAACTCCCCCTCGCTGTGTACCACGTGTCTGGAGAGTTTGCCATGCTGTGGCACGGAGCCCAGGCCGGGGCGTTTGATCTCAAGGCTGCTGTGCTGGAGGCTATGACTGCCTTCCGCAGAGCAGGTAAGAGGCAGGGGTGGGGTTGGTGACCTGTGCCACAGGGGCTGAGGTGCACTTTGCCCAGATGAGGAAACAAAGCCACGAGACAGTCCTGACTTCTACACCTGCTCTCCAGACAGCTACAGAATGAGGAAGGGATGTGGAAGAACAGAACATGGAGCAGTGCCATTACTTTTTTTTTTTTTTTTTTTTTGGTTTTTCTCCGGTACCGGGAACCGAACTCACGACCTTGCGCTTGCCAGGCAGGCGCTTTGCCGCTGAGCTAAATTCCCAGCCCCAACCATTACTTTTTAGTTGTGAGAATTTAAGCCAGCCACTTCTCTCAACCTCAGGGTCCTCGTCTGGGAGCTAGGGATGAGGTGCACGGTGCATGGTTGTCCTAGGAATTGAGATCATGTGTGCAGCTGCGTGTGCTGTCACCCTATAAATGGGAACAGGCTTAGTTGGCGTAGCACATCATCCTGGTCAGCAGAGTGAGCTCCAGCCTTGGGCTAACGAGCCTGGGATTTCACCGCAGACCCCTGTCCCTCCCCACTTACTGGAAGGGCCCATAGAAACAGGAAGCTAATCACTGGCAGCTGTGGGGAGACAGTGGCGAGGGGTGTCAAAGGCCCAGTGAGCATTTCTAGATGCTCCAGGCTGATGGGGCAGGGAGAGAAAAGACTTCAGCACGGAAGCCGAGTGCCTGTATGAAGTCTCATTGGAGGGCAGGGTCTTGACTTCCCCATACCAGCGCAGGAAGGGAATTGGCGGGTACCTGTTTCCCTCACTGCATTTCCTCCATGGCAAACTGAGGCCGAGGAGGAGAAAATTACTTACCCAAGGTCCAGAGCTGCAACCCCACAGACTGTGCCTCTTCATGGGGTCCTTCTGCCACATGTGACCTCCATCTCCCAGGGGTGGTCAGAAGCTGATGCGCCTCCTGTGCCCTGCTTTCCGCTTCCCTCCCGACACAGGTGCCGATGTCATCATCACCTACTACACGCCCCAGCTGCTGCGGTGGCTGAAGGAGGAATGATGGAGAGAGGTTGTGGGACCCAAGAACCACAACTTTGAGAAAGCTCCCAAAGCCTTGGTGAAGCCAAAACCAAAGTAAATTCTGCTTTTAGAACTGTGCCCCATGCCCTCTTCCTGCTCCTGTGCTGGTGGGGACCCAGCACCTTGACTGGTTTCTGCCTCCGTGCTCGCCTACCACTTGTGGCCACTTCTCCAGGACTCCCCAGGCTTCCCTGCCCCTGGCCCGGGGCAGCCCTGAGGGTCACCTCCACCCTAGCTCTCTCCTCTGGTGAGCTTTCGGCTTGGCAGCAACAGAGTCCCCGCACCGGGTTGGTGGTGCCTGGAGAGGGGCTTGGAGCATTGGGCAAGAGGAGAGCTATTGAATATGGATCCTAAGAAGTGTGGGGAAGCCTGGGCTCTCTAGCAGCAGTTCTGGGTGCAGGATTGAGGCCTAGCCTGATGTCCCTGGTTTAGAGTCAAGTTGTGCTGTGTTTCCATGGGAAGATGTTTTCTCCTGTAGCCAGTGTTCCCAGGCTGCCTGAGATCTGTTCCACTCTGATCCTAGATCCAGAGAAGAATTAATGAGGATCAAAATCCAGGAGCAGCTGGGCATGGTGGTGCATTCCTGTAATCCCAGCACTCGGGAGGCTGAGGCAGGAGGATTGTTGCACGTTCAAGACCAGCCTGGGCTACAAAGTGAGCGCAAGGCCAGCCTGAGCTGCATAGCAAGACCCTATCTCAAAAAGACATACATACATACTACATAAATAAAAATCCAGGAGCAAAGGAGTTTCTGGCAGCTGGACATGCCACACCAAAAAGGTTTTTCTTTTCCCCTACAGTACTGGAGACTGAACCCAGGGCCTTTGCACTGATCTACATCCCCAGCCATTTTTTAATTTTTATTTTGAGACAGGTCTCACAGAACTACTAAATTGCCCAGGCTGGGCTCAAAGTTCAACCTTATCACATCCTCTTTGCTTTGGCCTGTTGGAGTGCTGGTACATGCCACCATCCCCAGTTTTTTCTTTTTTGGGGTTTTTTACAGTACTAGGGGGTTAAACCCAGGGGCTTGTGCATGGAAGGCAAGCTCCCTATCACAGAGCCACATCCCAACACTTTAAAATTTTATTTTGAGACAGTTTTACTAAGTTGCCCAGGCTGGCCTTGAACTCATAATATCCCTCAGTTTGCCAAGTAATGTTGCTAGGATTATAGGCGTAGACCACCACACTGGCCAAAGGGGTTTTTTATTCATGGGGTATTTATGTATAAACCTCTGCTGTGTGCCCAGGTGCAGTTCTGGGTGCTGGGGATACAGCAGGACAGGCTCTAACTTGTCACTTCATTGAATGTATACAAAGAGAAGGGGAGAGGCAGATAAAACAGATGAAGCAATGACAGCCAGGCGTGCTGGTGCCTGTCTATAATTTTAGCACTCAGGAGGCTGAGGCAGGAAGATTGGAGGATTGCCACAAGTTGAAGGCCAGCCTGACCTAGAAAGTGAGACCCTGTCTCAAAGAAAATAAATAAATAAGAAGCAGTTACAAATTTTGTTAGTGCCTGAAGGAAGGAAAGGTCTGAGACAGAGTAACAGGAGAGGACCCTTTGAGAGCATGGCTGGGAAGCCCTTTCTGAGACTGAGATCTGTACAGGAGAAGATCTTTACAAGTCGAGGCCACAAGAATCACATGACGTACAAGCTGTGGGAGCAGATGAGGAAGAGGAAGCCGAGTGACAGGGCTGGAGGTTGGAAAGTTCAGATTCCACTTGTGGTAGGAAGCTTAGATTTTATTTTGTGTCTGATCTGATGGGCAAACAATCTGAAATCATTTTGGCTTTGCAGTGCTCGGACTTGAACCCAGCAGCTCACACCTGGTAGGCTGGTCCTGTCCCACTGAGCCACACCCTTTCCCCAGCCCGACAGATAACATTCTAGAGACAGAATCAGCAGATTTTGGTAGTGCTTTAAGATGCCGTGGAGACAACTGGGCCTGGTGGTGCATGTATAATTCCAGCACTCAGGAGGCTGAGGCAAGAGGATCACCATGAATTAAGGCCAGCCTAGGCTACATAGCGAGTTCAAAGCTACCCTGAACTATATAGTGAGACCCTGACTCAAGAAAACATAGCAAAACAAAAAAGATCCAGTGGAGAATAAGGAAATAGGAGAAAGCAAGAGTTCCTTCATCAGTTTCTGGCTGTAGCAAGTGACCTGGGTAGTTTCAGTCACCCTAAAACTGATGTGTATGTTTTCCCATAGTGAAAGTTAAGCCTCAACTAAGGAGGAGGCCAGGTAATAAGCCAGCTGCCTACCTGCAAAGGGAAGGAAATCACGGTAGAGCCAAAGCAGGTTCACCTTGGACTCTAATGCACTACAATCCACTTTTAAACATTGAATGAATTTAGAATTATAAACTCCCAGCAGCTTCTAAAATCACATTAGACCCCTCTAACTCTTAGTGGCTATCTTAGTTACTTTTTCATTGCTGGAGCATAATACCTGACACCCACTACTTAAAGGAGGAAAGGTTTATTCTTTTGGCTTACAGTTTGTAGAGGTTTCAGTCCATGGTTTGCTGGCTCCAAGGCAGGGCGTCATGGCAGAGGAGAAACAGCTCATGTCATCATGGCAGGAAGGGCTGGGGATTTAGCTCAGTGGTGCAGCGCCGGCCTGGCAAGCATGAGGTCTGAGTTTGATTCCTGGTACTCCGCCCCGCCAAAAAAAAAAACATGACAGGAAGCAGAGAGAAAGATCTAGGGAAGAGGGAAAGCAGTCAGACCCTTCCAGGCCATGGCCCAGTGACCCACCTCTGATCAGACTTCACTCCCCAAAACGTGTTGTAAACTCATCAGTGGACTAGCCCACTAATGAGTATTGTACCTCCGTGATCACCTCTCAGCAGCCCCACATATGAGTGCATTGGGGGACATCTAGATAGGAACTTAACATTTCATCACTGGTCCCCAAAAGACTTGCACATCCCTTTATGCAAAAATGCATTTAGTCCATCTCTAAGAGTTGCCAGAGTCCTACCAGTATCAGCATTGGTGAAAAGTCCAAGTCTCTGAGATTTAAGGCAAACTCTTACCTATGAGCCCCATAGCTAATAGAGGGATAGTGGTGGGACCAAAGCAAAACTGAGACCCAGGAGGGCAAATACTAAATCCTATAGTTTATATCCAGCACCCAGGACAAAATGTGGTGAGATGAAAGCTCCAAAAGGCTTGGGCAGCCCTGCCTCTACAGCACTGCCAGTGGTCGTGGTCCTCATGGTTTCTCAAGCTGACTTTGCTCACTTCTTGCAGCTTTTTTGGTTTTTTGAGACAGAGTCTTGCTATGTAGTCCAGGTCTTGAACTTGCTGAGGAGCCCAGGCTGGCCTTAAACTGATGGCAGTCTTTGTGTCTCAGCCTCCTAGGTGCTGGAATTACAGGTGTGCAACACCAGGCCCAGCCTTGCAGTTTTCTTTAGATGTTCCTAGCTTCTGCAACTTGCTCCACTTCACTTTTGGCTTCACACTCACACCTTGACACACTGCTGTCTCAGGCACACTGCCTGGCCTCCTAGGCCTTCTGAAATCTGGGTGGAAGCCTTCCTGACCCCACAACTACATGCATGTAAAACCAGTATGTAGATGATGCCAAGGTCTGAGCGAGCTAGAGCAGTAATTAGGCCCTTCTGCATCTACTCAGTGGTTGCACAAGCCTTGGAATGCCTGGATGGCTGAGCATGGTGAACTGTATCCCAAGAAGCCAATTCCCTGGATGGCTTTTCCCAAGCAAAGGGCCCAAGGACTCTTGTTCAAAGCAAATTCATTTACTTTTGGTTGTAGGGGGACCCAAAAGCCATAACTTATCATTCACCTTAGAAGGGATTATCTCAGCACACCTCACACCATTAGATTCCTAGAAATTGCACTGAGGTACAGTTTTAGTTTGTATCTTGAATTTTAGTTGGATTTATTTTCCATTCTCTGGCACACAAATGTTTTACTGACAAGTCCAGAGTCGTTGCTACTTCCTTGCTTATTTGGTCCAGTCAGCATAGTATCAATGTAATGGATCAGTGTGATTCTTGGAGAAGAGAAAAACAAGATCCCTGTGAACTAAACTGTAACACGGGCCTGGAGAGTTAATAATACCTGGAGGTAAGACACTGAAGGTGTGTTGTTGGACTTGCTGGTTGAAAGCAAATTGTTTCTGGTGGGACTTATGGACAGAAATGGAGAAGACATTTGCTAAATCAATAACTGCATACCAGGTCCCAGGAAATGTGTTACTCTGCTTAAGCAAGGAAACCACATCTGGTACAGCAGTTGCAATCAGAGTCACCACTTGATTGAGTTTATGGCAATCCACTGTCATTCTCCAAGACCCATTTATCTTCTGCACAGGCCAAATAGAATTGAATGAGGATGTGGTGGGAACCACCACTCCTGCATCTTTCAAGTTTTTGATAGTGGCACTAATCTCTGCAGTCCCTTCAGGGATACAATACTGTTTTTGATTTACTATTTTCCAAGGTAAAGGCAACCCTAATGGCTTCCATTTGGCCTTTCCAACCGTAATAACCCTCACACTATAGATTAGGGAACCAATATGAAGATTCTGTCAAGTACAAGTATATGTATCCCAATTATGCATTCTGAAACTGGGAAAATAACTACAGCATGGATTTGGGAACATACTGAACCCACTGTGAGTTTGATCTTTGCTGAAATTCCATTGATCACTGGACCTTCATAGGCCCCTACCTTACCAGAGGTTCTTTTCTGGCCAAACTTAAAACTTTTAAAATCATTAATCTGTGCTTTTGCTCTTGATTCTCAAAGTAGAATCGCTAAAAGCCCCTAACAGTATGCATGCCACTGCCTCAAAATTTCTCTCCCTTGATATTTCCTCAGCCAGATTCATTAGTCTGCTGCTGTTAATCTCAGGCTCTGTTAAAGTCTCAGGACAGGAGCAAAATGTAGACAAATTTTCTGCCAGAGCATAATATACATGACCAGAAGTCCAAATGCCAATGGAGTCCTTGTTCTCAACGGAAACTTCCTGAGCTTGGTCTTTTCCATCTCCTTTTTAAAATCAGAGGTCTGAGGGGGGCAGGGATATAGCTCAG